CCCAAGACCAAATTGGAAGAACACAATGAAGAACGATGAGTTGAGTCATGGCTTTCCGCAGCATGCTGCAACACAGAAGTGCCCTGGAGCTTTCCCAGGCACTGCATTGCAGACCCAAGTGCAGGGCTGAGGATGCTGCCAGTGCTCCCGAGTCCAAAAGATGGCCAAGTTAAGCGTGTGCCAGTAGCTGGGGTGGCACAGGCATGTGGCAGGTGCCAAGGGTACACACAAACCCCAGACCATGCGAGTTAGGGGGTGCCTTGTCAGATGCAATGACTGTTACCACAGTCCCATTCTGGTAACCCCTTGCAGTTACCACCCCGATCCCTTGCAATTCCCTTTGTAAGCACCATCAGGCTCTCTTTGACTGCCCAACTGTTGCAATATGTTCAGTTTCTCTATATTAAGGAGGGAGATCAGTAAAATATTTACAAAATACAGAAAACAGGAAGAGGGCAACTGCAGCAGACTATTAATTTTTTGCTAAATAGGAAAATACTGTCCCTTAAGTCACATAAAATGCTTGAAGACAACTTCCATGGCACTGTAAACTTGAACTAGTATCCCTTTTTAGTAATACAGCGTAGCACAAGCGGCAGTATTTCAGGCTAATCCACCTTACGCACTTGCCCCATCAGAATCTAGGCCTGCTACCCCTGGACTACCTCTATCAGATTTTCCAGAATATTCTTCTCCTGTAAAGTAAATACGATATTATGACCCAGAGAGTTGTCGCAGTGAGGTTTTGAGTCAGATGCTCTGCGTGGGATTGACTGTCTTGCATCTTCCACTTAAAAGGGAAATAGTTTTCAAACACTTCGTGTCCAATGTAGATGAGGATTGAGTTCATTCCTGAAAGTAAGCACAAGGTCACGCCATCTGAAAGAGCAGGTATGAGCTTGCTTCAGAGTGAGCAGGCAGAGGCATGAACAGCGTGGCACCGAGACAACAACAGCTAATCGCAACAGCTAATGTTAGTTGCCCCAAAGATGGTACAGGTACGTGTTTTCAAATACAGTCTGAGAGGTTCCTCTCCCCCAAAATGTTTATTGAAAAGAAATACAGACAACCTATATGCTAAATTGACAATACAACCAAATCAGTATCCTGTAATTTTATCGACAAGGAGGATAGTCACAGCTATTGTCTTCAGGGTGGCCGAGTGCCAGCCTCTTTGGTCAGATCTATTGCCTTTACAAAACAAATGCTGAGTGCCCTTCAAAGCTCTGGGATTTCTGGTAGGAGATATGATACCATGCTGTCACCCTACCCATCTTCCTGTCCAGACACCAGACACCAAAGCTGCTGAAAGCTGCTCTCTGCTGTGGGTTTGCATTCTGTACTCAGATGTTTGTCAAGAGCCCAGTGTGGTTAAAACCACAGTGGGATGCTTTGGGAGACAGGCTTATCTAAAAACACAGAGACAGAACCGACACAGCTCCCCAGGGGATTTTTGTCTTCCACTTCTTCAGAAGTGGTATGACTCTGTTGACAGGCCTTTCAGTTTCCCATTAGGTTACCCAAGTCTCAGCAGTCCTTTCCAAAACCAACTACGAACCAGCTGCGGTATTTTGCTTGGTACTAGGCAACTGCTCCCTTAACTCGAGACCAAACCAAGAACAGTCATTGGGCAATAGCAGCTTCCAACCCTCATTTAAAGACTTGACAGTCCCTCTCTCCTAAATACCTGGTCTTGACAGTCTCAATTCTACGCAAAGATTCAGCTCAAGTTAATCATCCTGGCATTCTTCAAGTTACCTCATTCTAAATCCCAACTCTTAAAAGACAAGAGAAGTGCAGAAAACATAAAAGGATAGTATCAGTGCAGAAAAAATTGGAAGGAATAAGTTTCCTGCTGTGATTTTACTGACCTGGGTAGAAAAATGGAGCACCCGACCACAGTCTCTTGACATCCACAAGGTAATATATCAGCAATAAGAGGATGAAGGCAAAGCAGCTCATGGTTGTCACATACGATATTGACCTACGTACATTTTCAGTAGAAAGATTATTTAGAGAACGATGTGATACAGACAGATCTCAATATAAGAAAGGTAAAACATTCTCCAAGGTAAAATACTACTTCAAGAAAATGATACTAAAAGTTGTATCTCTGCTTACCATAAGTTCTTGTTTATGGGAATAAACCCTTCTTCTTTAGAACATTTTGTCAAGATAGCAGAAATAATTCCCTGAAACAGAAAGTTGCTAAATTTTATATAACCACTGCAACATATTTCAGAAATACTAAGTTTGCATTGCATAAAAATGCCTATTGAAGAGCTATGTAACTGTCTGACTTACCATTACTATGCTCCATATGAAGAACCGACTCATAATTTGTTTGTGCTGGTCTTTGTAGAACAAGATAATTTTTCCTGCCTAATATAAAAAAAATACAAAAAATGAATCGATGCCCATAAATGTAACTACATTTCGAGAGTCAGATATATTTGCTACCTGTGCTAAGACAGAGAATACAAATACGATTTTTATGAACTAAGTGGCTGAAAGGCTGAGAATGGGAACTCTTTGCAAAGAATGGACACAGAGGGGGAAAGTATGTAAATACAACCCACTCAGCAATAGAGGTGCACCTTTTCTCCCTTCCCTACTACGTTAACACTGAGGAAGGACACAAGCAACTTCGTTAGGTTAACACGACGTCACTCAAACTCCATCTCCCCCAGCAAGGACTGCATGAAGGAACACCACCACATCGACTCCCCAGCCAACCCCAACAGCTTCTCTGCAGCACCACGTTGCCCCCTGCTCGGAGCACGCGTTCCTTTTCACGCACCACTAAGAAATGTGTCCTGACGACTCATTCCTCAGTGTCACACTTCTGTTCCAAGTTCTGCCCCACAGAAATTCCAAATCCATTTTTACCCACTGCTACATGTGGTAACATTGCTTTCCCAGCACAAGATTTTCAGTGTGGTTACCAGCTGCTGCACAGACAGAAAAGCCAGCAATATCTAACGAGAACTGCATCAGAAAGCCTTTTGATGTCCTATTTTAAACACGGTGGTGAGCTGCGAGCTTTAGATGTTGGTAACGCTAATGTGAACCGCCGTGTCCCTCACGTCTGGCAAGGTGAGCACACCCATAGCACCTCTGCAAGACGGCTAACTGCATGTCAAGCAGGAAAATTAGCAACGGGGAACGTGTACAGCTGCGACCTTTAAAACCGTATGTTTAAAATGAAGCTGTGAAGTCTATGCATTTCCTGGCCCTGTTTCCCAGCGTGCAGAGCCAGCCTACTCCCAGCATAAGCCCAACCTTAAAACAAGCAAAGAAAGTTTCCAGATGGCTATTTTTCAAATTTCTTGTGTGCATCCCTTACAAAAACTGAGAAAAAGTCTTGGTTTATCTAATGCAAACTACTGCCAGGTTAGATTCCACTTCTCTGACACTCATCACCTCAGGCTAAGTCGGCCTGAAAGCATTGCTGTGGAAAAGGTTTTGTTAGAACCAGTCTCAGCCTTAAAGAAAGAAATCAAGTTGCTTCCCCACTTCCAAGATTCCTTCAAATCTTCCCATTATAGCAAACAGCCAGAAAGAAAAAGAGGTACCTGCAGTCCCAGAAATGCCATAAAAATGGTATTTATGGTCCCCAGGATCCCTTCAGGATCATATGGCATCGTTGTTTGGTAAATCACCTTAGAGAGAAAGCAGTTGTTACAAGGCACCTTAGAGAGAAAGCAGTTGTTACAAGGCACCTGAGCAACCAATGCTCCTTCTCTTCCACCCCCCTGCACGGATGATTCCTAAGCCCCTCCTGACAGCTGTGTTCGGTGCTTGCCTGCAACTTCATACTGCAAACCCAAAGCTACTTACACTTGAAGAGGGATGCTGATATATATGCTTTTCTCCAAGAAGCAAACGATCAATGTAGCCAGCCGCTCCTCCAGTGCAGTTGGGATAGTTTCCGAAGTCCCCAATGCCCCCGGGACCAAGATAGCCCCTAGGACAGAAGCAAACAGGTTATGGCACAAAGCGTTGGTATGCTCCACCTGAAGAGTAGCTGGTCTGCTGACCCAGCACACTAAATGCCCCATATTTTCCTTGGCCAGAGGCACACAGTGAAACACAGGTCCAGCTGGCTGGTGGCCACCCTGCTCTGATCATCGTGATCCCGCGAGCAGCTGGTCACAAGGGGACAGGCAGTATCGGGACCCTAAAGCAATGCTTCAGTTCAGCCCTGGCTGCCCAGCCGGCTGCTCCTCCTGCTCTACAGGTGCTGTCCCTTTAGAGGGGCAAAGAGAGAGACAGGGATGACTTTGCAACGATACTGCTGTACAGAGAACTCAGGGAGATTTTTATCCTCTTCTTTAGATAGAAAGGGACAATGATGTCACCTTTATAACACCTGGTACTTCAGTACCAAAGTAAAGAAAGTTTTTTCACATGATGAATGCTTCCCTTAACCCCGCTGGCCTAAAAGCTCTCTTCTTCCTTCTTTCCATTCTACTCAGTAGAAGAAAAACAATCTGATGGCCCATCGAAAGTAGTCTGAGTGCAGAGTCTTACCTGGGACAACCTGGCACTGGTAACAAAAAGGTCAGGCAGAGCCAAATCACTTCTAACATCAGAATGAAAATCCACTGTGGCCAATAGGGGAGAATATCCTGCAGAGCAAGACATGGCGTCTCCTGCATGAGATGGAGGGAGGGGGGTATTAGCTGGCAAGTAAAAACCATGCCCTTGGGGACATCCTGTACTTCTTGGCAGGCTGTACTTCCCCAGATACAAGAGGGAGCTGTTGCCATTACAAAACTGGGTTCTACCAATAGACCTTTCATCTTCACAAATGATTTCCAGACGCTTAGTTACTTGGGGGAAGGGGAGAAACAAACCAAAACAAAAGCCCGCAATGTTTTTTAGCTTGGAAAATGTCATAAGGAATTTTGATTCATGAGTAGAACAAAAGCCTTTTGGGAAAACAGACTCCAGAAAGGCCAAAAAGCAGTATTACTTTCCCCTGCTGTGAAAAAACACTGCCAAAATTAACCAGACAAAATGCAGGCCACAGGACTCAGCATAGAGATGCCTGTCCCTGGGCTCCCCTAGCAGTGGAAAGTCATCAAATGTGCCTGGGAATGCCTGCTTCTAAGCACCATCTGAATGGAGCAGCGAAATCCTCAAATACAGCAAAGCTAGATCTGATAAAATGCAGACTGGAACACTGAAGGGTGCATGTTCCCCAAAATTTTTACCAGGTCACACTGCATTACACATCAGGTAAGATGCTACATGTTTTCTTACAATTTCTCATGTCTTCTTTGTGCCCAAACAAGAGCAAAAGCTCCCAAACACTACTCCAGTATCCTCTGTCATCTCCCCACATAACTCACCAAGGTCCCAGTTTCGGCCCCAGCTCTTGTAAAGAGGAGTTCGAGAGCAGCAACCACCAGGTAGGTGAATCCCAGCCTCTGGAGCACCCCAGGAATACGCAGATTATCCCAGGACACTGAAAAACATGCAAGCAATGTGGAAGAGGAGCAGACATGCGCTCTTCTGTAAATACGAAAGTTACCCTTCCCCAGGGAGAGCTGGGACCCACTGCACCTGCAGGTACAAGGGACAACTCCACTCTGCCACCCCACTTTCAGTAAATGATAACTCTGGGAAAGTCACCACTAAGATGATGAACACAGGGGTCAAACAGAATTGCGTCAGTGCAGAACAGCACTCCAGAGCATACCATCGACTGCCCGTGTGCAACTGGTCAGCACAGCAAGGCTGACACTGTTTTCTCAGCAGCCCAGCCAAGGAGGCAGGAACAACAGTTGCAGAAATAGAAGGACGAGAGCAAGTTCCACTCACATGGTCCAAGGCAGTAATTGGGATTTACAACTATGATTCCCAGCATGATTAGTAGAAAACTCCTCCAGAGGATTTTCCCAAGCACCTTCTGCTTAGAATTTCCCCACCTCAGCATGGAGCTCAGTGACAACGATATTGATGTTCCCATGATGAACACAAACCTGGAGAACAGAGCAGATGGGAAATGGAGCTGACAGATGTCTCATCACACATGTGCACGACAGTAAACACTAAAGCTAACAGGGTAGCCTGCACTGGCCCAACAGAAACGCATCCATTGAGTGAAACTGGACAACTTTATTTCCTCTGATTGCTAGGAATTCCCAGACAACGGAGCTTGCGCTATCGGACCTTTCCACCTCTTTCAGTAGTCAGTTGAGGCAATAAAGTTCAGGGAAGTGATTGCATTCTGGTCTTCTTGCAGTAATACCGATGCCACCAAAGTATTCCATTACCCAACATTAAATTAGCATCTTCAGAGCAGTAAAACACAAGCTGCAAATCTATGATTCAAATTCAGAACTGACCAGCTCCTCCCTCTAGATTAGGCTCACAGTCTAAGTCCAGCTCCCATCTCCAAGAGTAACCACAACTGGTGTGTATTTTAAAGAAGTGTGCTAGGAGCAGATGGGATAATTGCTTCCCCACAAGACCATTCTCTGATTATTGAGAGATTATCTTAATTCAAAATTCCCTTGGCTATTTTATCTCTGGATACACATCAGTCCAGCTCTGAATCTTGCCAGACTGTAGCATGACAACAAGCTCCTCGGCGATACTGCACTTCCACAGGTAGGGTAACCCTGGGTCTCCCACTGACGTTGTGGGGGGTGAGGAAGGAGGATGTGGGGCAGCCAAAAGCACTCAGCTCTTCTACTGGTTCATAAGGATGATGCCCTTATCTGGAGGGGCAGATTCATATCAACTGTTTAACACAAATTCACCCCTCCAAATACATTTCCACATGGAGGCAAGGTGCACACAATGTTCTCCTTGCAATTCTTAACATAAAGAATCATTTCACACAAGAACTATTCTTCAGGAAGACTTACCATGGAAACACCAGATCTGCCACCGTTAATCCTACAGAGAAATACGAAGGAACACATTATTTACCTGGAACCCTCCCTAAATTTTAACAATGTGATTGTTGAGTTTCCAGAGGAATTGCAGGCTGCTGCAATTATTTGATGCCCCAAAATCTAAAACACATTATAAACAAAACATACAAAGAGCTAATCATCTTGCTTCACTGCTTTCACCGTTCTTCAAAAATAGGGTCAGAACTAATTGCTGTGTCTTGGGAAAGATCTCAGGGATGGCATCCTTGCTGTTCTCCACTAGGGCAGCACCATGCCCGACCCCTTCCCCACCAGCTTGCCAGTCAAGGCATTACATTTTATACATCAGCTTGACTGTGGTCATTAAACAATACATTAAAGATATGAACTTGTGTCAAAAATGTAAAGGTTACCCAGAGGTTGTGATCTGAAACCACCTCGTGACTGTGTGACAAGCAGGACTATACACTGCTTTGTCCATTAACGTAACAGGCCAAATACCCTGCTGAGGCAAACTGGCACAGCGTCCCAGCCTTCAGCTGAGCAACAACTTCCTGCAGCAGCTGCAGTGCTAACCTTATCTAGATACTGCTACAGTTAAAACCCAAATTAACTGTCTCAATTGTACTTTACCATTCCAACTCTCATGTTTGAAGAACCAGTATTTTCCTCCTCCATAGTTAACGAACACCATAATTATAAGAGAGAGCCTAAAAAGACAACAACAAAAACACACACAAAGTATCACATGTCAATGAAATACATATATATGAACACACAGTTAATGTTTACCCCCCATTAAAACATTTCTAACTGTGAGATCTGGTTTATTTTATTTCTTTAAGCAAGATTATGTACAAGGTTTCCAGCTTTGCCAAGCAGGAAGCAGTGTTTCAAAGATCATGGGTGGCGGTGAATCAAAGTAAGCTCCTTCACATAGCGTTTTCGCACTGAACGTATGTTGTACTTTTCCACCCTCTGCCACAACTTTAATGTTTCCTCAAACTAGATCAATTGCAAAGTGTTTTGGAAAATCCAAGAATTAAAACCTTGATTATCTTCCAAGTAAAACAGACTCCCTTGAACCGTCCATCTGATATATATTTCGATACACCGTCAAACCACTATTGGAAAAATCTGATTCCCCTTGGAAGAGTTGCTTTTGAGCAAGGCCTTATGCTCACCCTCGGAACGTGTCCAGGGAACGCAGCCGCTGCCGAGAGGCTGTACTCCAGAAACGCGGGGTGGGTCCACTGCTAGCAGAGTCTGTTGTGTTCGGAGACCCGAGCTCCTTTGGGAACAAACCAGACACACGAAGGGCAAGTCAGCAGCTGCAGCAGCTGCCTAGGGAACAGAGATCAGTAAACTGCAAACTTTCACATACTGTGTTTGTATTTGTTCTCCCCATCTTCCTCTTCCTTTTGTTCCCCCACTTGCTACTTCTAACCTCTTCACGGCTCTACCATATTGCAATAATATTTGCAGATGCTCCACACTGCACCTTTGACCAGGGTGGAAACAACAGTGCAGTGAAAAGAGCCTGTGTTTGAGACGTGAGAGTTGAGTCCAGTCCAAATCAGCCACAGACTTGCCGTCACTGGGAGTGCTGCTTTACAACAGAGCTGAACAGATCCAGTTGCTGACTCTCACAAGCAGAATCCGTCCCATCGCATCCCATCGGCACTTGTCTGACACTACAGACTGTTTAACGAGCTAAACCAGCAGAAAATCAATCCTTTTAAATGCGGGAGTGGCTTCTTTCCAATTGAGTTCCCTAAATCACTCTGATCAGCCCCAGTGACAGCATAAAGAAGCAGACATCACTGTTAACACAGCTATGGCAATGAACAACTACAAGAATTGCTTCAAAGCTCTGCTCCCAAGTCTTTTGAATCTAGACAGGTTTGGACCTCCTAGATGTGAAGCCCAGACTGTGATGATCTATCTATATTCTAGTACAAAACACAGCTTACACAGAAATGCCAGCTCTAGGGCTGCCAGAGAAATCTTGACTTAAGTGTAGATCCTGCTAAAATTCCTACTGTGCAGCAAGCAGACATGAAGGGTGGCATTTCTTCCATTCCTTTACGTTGTCTATGATGTCAGACGGAGACAGTATTTTCACCGACACGTTTGCTTCAAGGGAAGTAAAGAGGGCACAAAGCCGTATGTTCAAGACTTGCAAGAGCTCTACTGGGAATCCACTAAACTTGCGTGGAAACCCAGTCTAGCACTCTCCATTGACGTAAAATTGCCTGTCTGACATCGAATCAAGATTTGCCAAGGGGAACATGCACAAGAGAAAGATGATTAGTAATAAACATGTCCCTAGGTGTCTGGATAGTGCGTGTTCCTCAGAGAAGAAAACACTACAGAATGCGAGTTACTCACAGAATTAATCAGACGATCAGTTTCTCTGGGGTTCAGTTTCTTGTAAACCCAGTTTCTGACTGGATCAATTCTGAAAATTAGTAACAGTTTAAAACACAAAACAAACCAAGAAGTACTTTATAGCCAATTTCATCTTAATATCAACTACTTAATGACTGTCCCAGCTTTTGATTTATGCTGCTATTTCTGTTTTTCCCAGCTCACATATGTACCACTGAGATTCAGCCAGTACCTGGGACCCCAGTTAAGTCCAGCTATGTAATTACACTGCTACAAGCTCAGGTTGGGGGGCTTTATCCTCGGGTTGTCTACAGGCAGGGATGACTCATGGCATTCAGTTACACAGGATGGATGGCTGCAGATGCCACACATGCTTATATCCCACTGACTTGTACTGTCGATTCAGGGCTAGACCCAGGAACGAGTCAGGGAAGGGTGAGGCAGGGTGTGCGCCAGCTTACGGCGCACATCAGCTGCTCTGCAGTAACTGCTCTACACACGAGCTAACAAGGCTGCAAGGTATCCCTCAAGGGAAACCGTATCACGCTGTATTTATTATCATATGGACAGCTACCACAGCTTAACTTGTACATGGCAACCTGAAAACAGGATCTGATCTGCAAGCAGGGCTACAGTGGGACTCTGAAGTGCTACCACACTGCAACACGTGTTTTTAAAACTGGTGGCCCCTCTTCACATGTGAGGGGGTGTTATAATACCATTCACTTACTTCATAAAAAGGTGCCCAACAATCAGGATAGCAAGGATCCCCATGTAAACCAGGAAAGCAAAGAGAATAGCTACATGAAAGAGAGAAGAACACAACTCTATAAATGATCTAACAAAACCATTCAGCAGCCTGGGCTTGGCCAAGCATGACACAAACATGACAAAAAGCCTGACCCACCATTCATCACACCACCTTCTCCATGCAATACATATCCCCAGCCTGAGTCCCAGAGAGAAAAAAACAACAAAACCCCAAAACAATCCAGAACAAAAGCAGGCTAGTTTCAAAATGCAGCTCAGTGACTGCACATCTTGGCAGAAAAAAGGCAAAATAAAACTGCACTGCATCACAAGGCAATGGTGAGAAAAGAGTCGATGTGCCACACGTTCTGAAGAAGAAACTAGAGATTTAGAAACAGCCTCAACATGAAGAGGACAGGGGAGAGGGTAATACACCAAGTTTGCAAGCACGGAGATTTTTTCTTTACAGCTGGAAAACTGGAAGGACTGAAGAATAACCCAATGTAAAGGAAAAGAATGAAAGAAACGTAGACAAGAGTTTCAAACAACCCTGGAAAAGAAATGAACAAAAAAGCAAGATGTGAGGTTTAAAATCAAAAGTGCAACAACAAACAAAAATCGAAATACTGTATGAACTGCTTCCCATTTTGTGAGAGAAGCAAGACAAAGGGAAGAAGAGGGAGGATTCTGTGTACATACATAAATATGCAGGGAAACAGGAACCAACTAAGGAAATGTTTCCCTCTGGACACATACCTACTGATTTTTCTGGGCTAATCCCTGCTGCAAAAAAGTGGTCATACAGTACGTCACATGAAGAGGCCTGATCCTGGTCAGGGCCTCAAGACTGGTGTGTACAACATAAGGAGGTAAGGTGCTGAGAGAGAAGAGGAGCAAGCCCATGACACATCTTCAGTGCAGCATGAGTGGCTGTACAGGCTTTTTAGAAGTTGGTTTTGCTGGGAGACATGCAAGTTGTAGAATGAAAGGGGAAAACAGAGCATTACGTACGGAGGTAGCTGTTGATAGGGCCTTTGTTGATGACTAGGTCACAAGAAACAGTTTTGGTGCTTGAACTTAGGGTCTTTACCACAAGGGAATAATTGCCAAACTCTCCAAAATGATACTGAATCCTGCAAAGGATAAAGAAAACGAAACTCGCTAAGCCATCACCGCTACATGCAGGTTCCACAGCAGCATTTGGGGGGCTGTAAGCCTGAATGCTTGCAGGAGAGGTAGGCTGACAACTTTGCCTAACAGCGTGATCTAGCGAGGAGCTGCCTGGCTCTGCCTCTGCCAAGCATTACCCTCCCCTAGCCCAACGCATGCTTTACCACACTTGCACTGCCTCCTACATCACCTGTCTTCTCAAACCACTGCCTCTCTGCAAGAGAAACCAGGTGCTTGCAGATGCTGGCTCAAGGCATACCATTTTGGGTCCTGCTTGTGCCGAGATCCTTTCGGCACAATTACAATGTACTCCACAGCGACAGCAGTAGGGGGAAGACTGAATTCTAGGTCTAAACAGTCAGGAAAAAGGAAGTGATGAGCCGGCAATAAACAGATGCATGGCTTCAAGAAAAAAACCCCAAAATATAGGATAGAGCTATCCAGGTGTTCCCTGGGGCTGGGCCACATACTTGCAGAGCTCTCTGTCACCCACAGAGCCGTTGAGCAGCAGTGTGAGTGGATGCTGCGTATCGACCATTACCGCTGCCGTGCCTGGTTTTCTCAGGCTCCCGTTGCTCGGTGGGATGAACGCCAGGAACTGATACAAGCACTGTGGAAGAAGAGGGTGAAGGGAGCTCATTAGTGCCAAAGCAGAGTGAGCTCTGCATAGCGGTGAAGGAAAAGGCAAGGGAAGATGCCCTGGGGCTGGAGCAGCGCCCGCTGCAGCGCTTGCCGGCGTGTCGCTCAAAGGCAAAACCGAAGCGAAGCCACGGGCAGACGCCGGAAAAGCTCAGCAGCCCCGCCAGAGGCCGGGCTGTCAAAAGCGGAGGCCAGGGGGTGACACGGAGGTACAAGCCCTCCGCGGCTCCCTCCGCTCACCTGGTGGCAGGCGCCGGAGACGGCGGCGAGGCGGAGGCCCTGCGCGGGCAGCTC